TGTGTGTGTATGTGTGTGTGTGTATGTGTGTGTGTGTATGTATGTATATGTATATGTGTGTGTGAGTGTGTATATATATATATATAATAAACAGCAAAAGGGTGATTAGAACTTTGATTTTGGAAAGTTACAAATGGACTAAGGATCCAGATGGATTTGAAATAAGATTTTGGTATTAATTACAAGAATCCTTCTCTTGGGAAAATGCTTTTGTTTTTAATTAAAAAAAACATGATAGGTTGAGACTTTGAAGGTTGGACATTAGAGGGAACCAGAAGGAACTAAAGATTACAATTAAAGAAGAAGAACACTTAAATTTGACTTACTAATACAGTTCTATTTCTATTTGCAGGTCTTTTTTACTTTCTTATTAACAATTGTTAAGTCTGGGGTGTTGTGTGGCAGATGCTTGTCTGTTTGAATTCTAAAGTCCCAGAGCACTTTAGCTCCTTCATTTCTATTATTTTGTCTGTTTTGTGGTCCCATCAGTTCTCGTTTGTAGGCAAATGTTATTTCTTGCAGATATTCCAATCCACCATTGTTGCTACTTTGTCATACCATTGTTTGTAGTCAGTCTGTGTGATCTTCTTGCAGCAACTAACTAGGTGGTCCACTGTTCCTTCAGCTTCTTTGCAGAGACAACATTTGCTGTTTGTTGCTGTGTTCTTGATTCTGGCTTTGTATGCCGTTGTTCTTAAGGCTTGGTCTTGTGTAGCTAGAATTATCCCCTCTGTCTCCTTCTTCAACTTTCCTGCTCTCAGGCTTTGCCAGGTCTTGTTATCTGCTGCCTGTAGGTTTTTTGTGTACTGGCCATGTAATACTTCACCTTGCCATGTTTCTTTTCTATTCTTCATATGGTTTTTCTGGTAGGCCAATTTGGTCTATTCAGTAAGCCTTCATGGTGTACTAGCTTCAGTGTATCTTCTTTACTGTCCTTCAGATATTCTTCCAATGGCCTCTTTTCTTCTTCAACTGTCTGCTGTACTTGCAATATTTCACGCCCACCTATGCTCCTTGGTAAATAGAGATTGTCAGCATTGCTGTGTGGATGAAGGGCATGATTCATTGTCATCATTTTTCTGGTCTTCCTATCCAGGGCTTCTACTTCTGCTTGAGTCCAGTCCACTATTCCAG